CGAGTGCCTGTAATTCCGGCTACTTGGAAGGCTGAGGCGGAAGGATCGCCAGAGCCTAGCAGGTCGAGGCTGCGGTGGCCAGGAGCGGCCACTGCACTCCAGTCTGGGCGACAGAGTGAGACTCCAACTCAAAAAAAAAAAAAAAAAGACAGGACTCTGCGGGCTTGAAACGGCTATCTTAGCAGACCTTGCCTAGCTGTCACTCGTGATAAGCGCCGGGCACCTGCCAGTGGCAGGCCCTGCCCTCATCAAAGACTCTCCCTTGTGAGACACTGACGTCGCATCCTCAGTCCAGGCCACGTGGAACCCAGGGTGCTCACAGAAAGGCCCAGCAGTGGCCTGGCAGCTCCTTACCTAAGTGTCCATATATCAGCGCAAGGATGGCCCAGGATGTCAGGGAAGTCAGATATCTGGTGCTGCCCCCACACCAGCCCAGGCCCGCACCCTCAGATCCCCGGCTCCCTCCTAGCTGGCCCTGTGCCCTCCTCGGATGCCAGCTGCTCACTTTGCAGGGACAGCCTGGAGCCTGGGACACGACCTCCACCTCTGTAGGGGCCAGGGCTCACCGAGGCCACCCTGGGCGGATGCACGACCCTGGGGGCTCAGCGTGGCCCTTGGACTGCCCTCCCTGGAGGGTGGACACAGCCACTGCCTGATATATTTCAGTTGACACAAGCAAACGTGCATGGCAGCATCCCCAAGGCGCCACGGCAGCAGGACTTGCCGGAAGGCAGCTCTGCCCCACCTGGGGCCCCAGGCCGGCCAAGGGCGGTACCGGGGACCCTGGCACTCACCCCCATCAGCACGGAGAAGACCCATGTCTTGTAGCTGAAGCACGGGGGCAACCTCTTGGACAGCTGGAGGTCACTCGGCTTCGTGTCCGGGGCATAGCTCCCGGGGTCCTGGCGTCCCCGCTCCAGCGTGGGCATCCGGTCGTAGGCGGTCTCCTCCCTGAACTGCTCCTGCGTCATGGTGCTCAGGTACAGGCACGGCACGGGGATGGCACGGCGGCCGCTCTGCATTTATAGCCATGTGTCACCAGCTACTCATTTGTGACAAAATGATCGCTGACTCTGACCACTATGAAAAAACTTCAGAGTTGTTTTCAAGAAACGCCTTTTTAACAAAGAAATGATGTTCACACTGAAGTTCTATGAATTTGAAGAGGAAAATAAGCACTCCATTCTAGAAGTGAGGAAAATCACTCTCCAGGCACAGCCGGCCTGAACAGCCCGGGTTCAGGTGAGATTTTAGGCTTTGCGTGCCTGGTGGACCTGGGTCTTCCAGGTACAAAGCCTTTCAACCTCCGTGAGCACCTTCCTTCACCAACCCGGGGCATGGGGGCGCACGGCACGTTGGACTGCTCCGGGGTCACACAACAAGACTGCAAAATACACATCTACTCACCGTGTGACGGCTGCAAGCTGCCCTGCCTGTGGCTCGGCTGCAGGAGCACTGGTCTCTGGGTGAGGGGCATCGGCGGGAGCTATTCACACACAGAACAAAAGCTCAGCAGAACTGCACTCTGGCCAGGAAAGAGAGCCGCCCCTGCATCTCAATGAGGGGGCAAACCAAGGGGATCCTAGAAACAGTCCGTGTGGTTGTGTAACCACCGGCTCGGAGCTGCCTTAGGTGGCCAGGGAAGGAAGGTCCTCTGGGTTGCTGCTGGCCGCAGATCTCCGAGCCTTGGAGAATCATGTAAAGTGGGCCGGGCAGGTCCAGAATCCCAGCAGGCCTGTTCTGAAACAGACAGCCTTGACGCCAAGGTCTTACACATCTGACCTCACAGTGGGAATCTCCTTCCCAAGGTCACCCGAACTTCCACACACTTGATGTGGCTGGCGTGGCCCTCAAACTGCTGGGAATTCGCCCCCTGCGCTTGGTGTGGGCAGCCCCAACGGCCGGCAGGCCCAGTCCTGCTGCACCCTTTATCTCTGCTCTCCAAGCAGAGAAAAAAGACACTAATGTGTCGCCCAGAGACACTGGCGCCCTGACAGTTACAGCGACAGATTCTTTGTGCACATTGTAAAAAGGCTCAAGCCAGAGCTTCTGAAAAAACAGCTCCTTAACTCATGAACCCACATAAAACTTGAACAAAATTATCAAGTTTCAGACCATGGAATTTCCTGTTGCCTTCCTTAGTCTCAACCAAGCAAGAGGAATTTTCATAAACTGTAACCTCTGAAGAAGTCACAAATAATTCTGGATTAAGAAACCTCCCAAACTTCTTTATTGACTGTTTTTTAAAGCAATAAACGGGATTGGTGGAATTGGTCCAACCGGGTTGAAGCCTTCTGTGTTTCTTTTGTTTGAAGAAAAACGTTAATCGGATTTCACCATCTTTGTGCCTTTCAAAAGTTGCTCTCTGCTAAGAAATACAGACAAGCTGCTTTGAACCACAGGCTGCAGGGCAAACTCCTCAGGTACCCAGAGTCATAAGCAGTCACTTGAGACATGCATCCTTGCTGACATCCTAGGTTCTAGAACGAGGCCTGTTCTTTCATGCAGCAAAACAAGTCAAACAAGTGATTGTTCCTCCCGCTCTGCCCGCAAGGAGCCACCCCCCACCTTCCACACAGCTGCAGCCCTTGAGCAAACACTCGCCGAGGCAACAGAACAGGCGACCGGCCTTCCCACATGCAGTGTACGTTCCACTGGGAGACGGGGCACACAAGCGGAATAAATGAGTTTGTTCCATGGCAACACGCTAGACTTTCTCTACGAGAGAGAGGTCAGGGGAGGGAAGTAGAGGGTTGCCATTTAGACCAAGGGGCAGGCCTCAGTGAGGAGGAGGCCTTTGAGCAAAGACGGCAGAAGCAAGGAGGGAGTCCGGCTGGGCTGGAGCAAAGGCTACAGGCTGGCAGCGGCAAGGACCCTGCAGGGAGAAAGAGAGCAGGTGGGGCCTCTGGGACCAGGCCGGCGGCACAGAGATTACTTGGCTTTGACTCTGAAGTGCACCACTGGAGCGGTTTGGGCAGAGCTGCAGCAGCCACCAGGTGGGGACAGGCTGGGACAGCAGGCACTGGCCAGCATCAGGGTGGCGGCAGAGGAATCTAGACCAGTTTAGAAGAGCCGACACAATCTGCCGTCAGAGCTGTGGCTGCGTTTGTTCGGAGCAGTGAGGACAGAGATGGGAAGATGGGTGGAGCAGGTATACAGCGGGGTCCTGAGGTTCTCTCTGCACCTGACAAGGCCAAGATGCCTGTGGGATGCCTGTGCGTAGCTGCAGAAGAGCCCAGAACCTCGAGACGTCCTAGGCGCAGTCCTAGAGGCGCCAATGGCCATGGCAAATGGCCCAGTGGGAAGCTGCTGAGCTGCCCAGCCCTCAGCAGCACACTCCCATATCTGCGGAAGTCTCCCCCCAACAGCCAGTCGTCGTGGGACCTTTGTCCCTCCCATGTGTATTTGCAGCCAGGAGCCTGAGATGAAGACTAGCTGGTGCTTCGTCAATGTTAGAGAAAGACTCATCTCTCAGTTCCCAGAAGAAGCCGCCATTATACTGTGCATCTATGGACAGGCCAGATCCAGGCTGTCGTCCAACTGACAGACCCAACCTGGCAAAATAAAGATATGCCAAGCAGAACGACGCTGGGCCTCCAGCCAACAATAGCAGAGTACATTCACGAAAGGAGACTATTTGTAGGGAAAAGCCTCAAGAAATGTCTTCTAGTTTATTTTATTAAGCTCGGGGAAAGGTTCTTTTTTTCTCTATTTCAATAGCTTTGGGGGCACAAATAGTTTTTGGTAGCATGGATGCACTGCATAGCCTCAAGAAATTTTAACGACTGGAATTCTCCAGGGTTTATTCTCTGACCATGAATACATTAAATTAGAAATCAACAACAGAAAATTTTCTGTAAAATCTCCCAATACTTAGAAATTAAACAATATATCTCTCTTTTTTTGAGTTGGAGTCTCACTCTGCACCCAGACTGGAGTACAGTGGCCGCTCCCAGCCACCGCAGCCTTGACCTGCTGGGCTCCAGCGATCCTTCCGCCTCAATCTTCCAAGTAGCTGGAATTACAGGCGCACACTACCACGCCCAGCTACTTCTTTGATTTATTGTAGAGATGAGGTCTCGCCAAGTTGCCCAGGCGGGTCTTGAACCCGCGGGCTCAGGCAATCCACTCACCTCAGCCTCCCAAAATGCAGGATTACAGGCTGAGCCACTGAGCCCGGCTCTCTCTCTCTTTTTTTTTTTTTGAGTTGGAGTCTTACTCTGTCACCCAGGCTAGAGTGCAGTGGCACACATGCTCACAGCCACCCCAGTGTTGACCTGCTGGTTTTGTTTTTTTAAAGAGATATATCGTGACTGGGCTCGGTGGCTCAACCTGTAATCCCAGCACTTTGGAGGGCAAGCTGGAAGGATCACCTGAGCCCAGTAGGTCAAGGCTGCAGTGGCCGAGCGTGCCACTGCACTGCAGCCTGGGTGAAATAGTGAGACTCCAACTCCAACTCAAAAACAAAAACAAAACCATGGGTCAAAAAGAAATCACAGGGGAAATCAGAAACTGAATGAAAACAAAAATACAAGTCAAATTTTGTAGAATGCAGCTAAATTAGAGCTGAAAGAGAAATCTGTAGTAGTTTTAAATGCTTATATTTGAAATAGAAGAAAGTTTCAAAAGTATCTAATTTTCCACCTTAAGAAGCTAAACACACACACACAAAACCAAAAAAAGTAGAAAGTGAGAAATAATAAATAATGGAAATCATTGAAATAGGCCTGGTGCAATGGCACATGCCTGTAATCCCAGCACTTTGGAAGGCCAAGACAGGAGGACTGCTTGAGCCCAGGAGCTCGAGACCAGCTTGAATAACATAGTGAGATCCATCTCCACAAAAGATCAAAATATTAGCTGGGCATGGTGACATGCATCAGTAGTCCCAGCTACTTGCTGAGGGAGAAGGATGGCCCGAGGCCAGGAGGTGGTGCAGTGAGCCATGATCCAGCCACTGGACAGAGTGAGACCCTGACTCAAAAAGAAAGAAATCATTGAAATAGTAAAATATAAGCTGGGTTTGGTGGCTCAGCCTGTAATCCCATGCTTTGGGAGGCTGAGGTGAGTGGACTGCCTGAGCCCGTGGGTTTGAGACTCGCCTGGGCAACTTGGCGAGACCTTATCTCTACAATAAATAAAAAATTAGCCAGGCGTGGTAGTGCGTGCCTGTAGTTCCAGCTACTTGGAAGGCTGAGGCAGATGATTGCCGGAGCCCAGCAGTAGAGGCTG